TAAAATATTGTCTTAAGATTGAAAGTATATTGGGGGTAGTAACCAAAGAGACAACAAAAAGACACCAAAGAATAAAAATGAAGAATGATGAAGTTTATAGATAGATTCTTGATTCTAACAATAATGGGGAAATCACAAAGATTTGGATGTGTTCTAAGCGTGTAATCACTGTCCTTAAGACAATATTCGTCCCCACTACTTTGCAAAATCGGGTTTAATTGGCAATTTGTCTCTAAGATACGAAGAAGCACAAGAACAGGCAACTTTACGATTATTCCTTGTTCTTTAAGAATATAGGAATGCAAAAAGATTTACCCAAAATCTGCAATAGTACATCTATTTATAGGCAAATACTAGGAAATGAAAGAATAAGAATCAAGTCTTATACCCCTTGAATTTCAAGTCACCAACGTAACCTTTCATTAATACTTATCATGTTTCATATTCTTTCAATTCCTTGACACCCTTTAGAAGGTTCTAGAAATATTGAACCAACTTTGGGTTGCAACTTTTGGTTTTGGTTTTATTTCACAAACTAAAAACCCAACAAGATCTTCATTCACTTCATATTTATTGGAAAATATTCGAGATTTATGTGCCCAAGAATGCCTTTAGCTGGGAGTATGTTGCTAGCCAAATGCACGTAGAATTGCATTTGAATTGCACAGGAAATTGAAGTAAAACTTATGATTGAAACTTGTGGAATGCTTAATATATGTGACGCCAAACTTGATTGTATGAGTCCATCTATTCATTTCTTGAAGTCCTCTTGTGGCATATGCATGCACAGGAGCTTGTGTATTTTAATTTTATGTTGTCTTCTTCCTTTTCGAAATGCCATTATAGTTACTTACTTTTCTTAGTTGATTTCCTGGTTAGCTTATAATGCAGAGGTTATTTTGTCCACCTTCTTGGGGATCGCTGTCTGCTCATGCTTGTTTGTGCAAATATAGTGCAAATATAGTGGCTTTGCAGAGATGTATAAGGCAACATGGAAATGATGTATAAAGATGATTTCGTACACGTTTTAGTACAATGTCAAAAACTCATGTTACTAATAAAGTTGCCGACCTCCATCTCCTCTGAACAGTAATAATGTGTGTATTATGTCATGTAGAGCCCTATTATATGGCTACCAATTGGTTACATGAATAATCAGTTTTATAGTTGGATAAACCTATTCAAGTGCCTGCATTATCCCGGAGTAACTTGTTTATTGAAGTTTAAATTAGACTCTGTTACTTAGGCGCCCTGGTTATGGAATTGGAATATGCTGTTAGAAAGATGATGTTTTAGAAGAACTTGGGACAAGAATCTTTGAAGGCCAGTTCCAATTTTTGTTTAAATTGAGCATGAATTGGGTGTTTTTGGTTGTTCTTTTAAGGGTTTGAATTACAGGGACTTATACGTGCATGTCAATGCATGTTAGCAATGTAGGAAACACAGTTGGAAGCCGCCTCATAAGCTGAAGGAGAAAGAACCTGGAGAAGTTCATTTTTTAGTTTTTATATGGAGAGTTTATAATGTCTTTACTGAATAGCTAGGACAATGGTTATTGACTATAGAGATAGTAAAACAATTCTTTTTCATTATTTGGGACATTCGGCATATGAGAAATGAGTTTATTAGGGAAGGAAAAGAGCAGTGGCCATATCAGGCTCAAAAATGGGCAATTTGATGGGGAAAAAAAAAAAGTTTGGTAGATGGACTGGAGGTGAAGCATTTGAACGTCACTGCAATCGAAGTCTTCGAGAGGAAGAAAGAAGACAAAGGGTTTCGAAGCAACAGCAGGTCTTCAACTGGATGGATTGGGCTTTTCATGTATCGAACAAGCGATCTCATATGGCTGCATTGAATTGTACTACAATAGTTCCAAAAAAAAACCCAGAATCAAAAATTAAAATATAATATTTAGATGGCTTAATCTTGTAAATTAAAAAAATTAAATAAAATTTTATGACTATTTATCAATTTTAATATTCAATTTTATATTTTAACCTATTTGTCAATTTAATAGTTAATTTTAAATATATCAATTTTATAAGTCCAATTTAAGATTTACATTTTTAAAGTTACAATATTTTTCTGGGACATAGATTGTACAATGCTCCATTTCCAAATACTTAATTAGACAAAGACAACCAAGAAGCAACCATAAAAACGAGAAATTTGTAACTTCGTAAAGTGGATTGACAGATAATTCAAAGTAGTTATACAAATTTCAGGTCTAAGTTTGTATGAGAAATGAAAAAAGATTTCAGTGAGGGAATTATTATTATATTTTCTATTTGTGAAAATTATGATTACTAGGAAGAAGCAGAAAGACGGCTGTATGAGCAAATCTCTGATCTTGGCCAATTCAAACTCAACAACATATATTATAATTGGGGAATGTAATCTTAGTTTTCGTAGTCCTTCCTCTTACATTTATTTTGATTTTTCATTGTATTTGTGTGAAATTGGAAAAATGAGTCTTTTCATCTCAAAGTTTGGGCCACGCCATCCAAAACATCCCAAAGTTTAAGAACATGCCATTTACATCCTAAACTTTTTTAAAACATGTTACATTAAGATATTAGTTAAATTTCTAACTCCAGTTAATTAATTAATGGTGATACTTTATTCTGTTTCTCCTCCCCCAATTCTTTTAATCACTTAACACGTTCCACTAACTCCCACCTTATAAGAAAATAGCTAAACCTAATTTGGTCTTCACATCATCCATTCTTCCCTTGCTTAAAAAAAGAAAAAAAAAATTCAAGATTCACCTTCTAGATTGATAACAATCATGAGAGGTTTTGTGTATGTCCTAATTAGAAAGTAAGCCCTATTTCATTTATTTTTTTAAATATGTAGCATTATTATAAAAATTGGTGTTATAATTGATGTAGGGGCATGCAACTTTTTTGCTTGGCATGGACTAAATTTACCAAACGCAAGCATGAAACTTTTTTGACTAAAAAAAATGGGGGAAAAGAAACTGAATGAAATATCGCCGTTAATAACTTGAAAAAATTAACAAATGTCCTAATATTACATATTTTTGAAAAGTTTGGGATGAAAATGATATGCTTGTAAAATTTGGGATGTTTTAGATGGTGTACCTCAAATCTTGGGATGAAAAGGCTCATTCTCCCTATTGGTAAATGCTTCATCAATTGGGCAGAATGTTAATAGATGACAAATAATGAAAGTAAAATTGCTTCCGCAGATTCTTTGGTTCATGCGTTATTTTTGCTACTTCGTCGAATTAAAAACCAGCCCATAAACTTTATTGGCACCCAAAATATATCCTTCATCCCTTTTCAGTCCTCCGTCTGAAACACTTGTCAAGATTGTTTGTGTAATGACGTTTCCCACCACTATTAAATAACGAATATTTACAACAAAGCATGTTTTAAAGTTTTAGAACATTATAATCTGCTAAAATGAAAATATACCTGTTGAGGGTAAATCCCGGGGGCAGAAAGTCAACGGTCCGACCTAGACAGGAACCTGCAAGACGGAGGTTAGCACTCCGAAGAGTAAGTTAGTTCTAGGGAGAGAAGCGGGCAATTATCACACTTAGAGAGAGAAACGGGAGTGTGGAATTGAGTTAGCAATAAATGAACAAGGAGTATTTATAGGTCTCAATGGGACAATACCCGTGGACCCCTGTGTTGGGAGGGGCAAAAGCATAAATAAACATGTGTTTATTCCTTGTAACCCGGCTGGGCCTTTAGGAAGGAATAAATGGACTTCTTGGGCTTACAAGATAAGCCCAAACCGGATGGTCAGTTGGGCCGGTCAAAGTGGGTCAGAGTTGACCCCCAACAAATGCCCCTGTCAAGCTCATTGCAGCAAAGCCGGATTGGGCTTGACACAAAGGAGTTCTAGGCCCAACAAACCAGCCCAACTTCCGGAATCTTCCATCTCACGACCGCCCTAGATCCAACGGTCCTGGGCTCTTCCCGCTCAAATGTGATGGACGTGTAAGATTTCATGGGAGGCTGCGCCATAATGATGGCGCCGGATGGAAAATCGAGGGGACTGTTCCTCTCCTTTGGAGTATATAACTCCCCTACAGGACACCGGAATTCATTTTTCTCTCTTTTGCTTTCAAGTTTCAAACATACTGAGCTCCGACTTCTTCTCTTCTATTTTCTCTTTCGCAAATCAGAGCGTATTACCGTTCGGGAATCAGAATCACGGCCGGCGACTGATCGTAGCGACTTCTAATCGACCCTTAACGAGTAAGTCTCCCTCTTCTCTTGTTCGTTCGATTTACAACATGGCCAAAGAGGTAGTTAGAGTAGAGGACGTTGAGTGTTCGCTAAACCAAGATAGGTTAAGTGATTTAGAGAACCACTATAGCCTTACGGCTATCAACCCCACCTTACCAGAAGGCCATGAGAGAGCCAGTACTTCCCCTCCGGGGAAAATCACAATTTATGAGAAGTTTTTGGAATACGGGCTGCACTTTCCCCTGATGCCCATGTTCAGGATGATAGTGGAAGCCTACGGCCGACCTCTAGCCCAATACACCCCGAACCTCATAACCATCGTGTTAGCCTTCGTACACGTATGTAACAAGACGGGGGTAGAGCCAGATATTTTCTTGTTTAGATGTTTCTACAAACTCGTCCGATGCGGGAAGAGTTTCCTCGGGTGGTTCAGCTTCACCAAAAATCCACATGCGCCTTCCAAAGAATTAGTAGCGAAGAACGAGAGTTCCAAGCATTGGAGGTCAGGCTTCTTTTACGTAGACGCAGACTTCGTTGCCCTCTTTCCGTGAACGCCGAACGAGGGAGGAACGACCAGCTTAGATCCGTGGATCAAGAAGGATAAGAAAGACATGGAAACCCGAAGAGGGGACTTAGAGAAATTGGTCGGGTGGAAGAAGACTTACACCTATAGGCAAATCGCGTCGTTAAGCGATACGATCAGCTCTCGTAACCAAGGTATTTTACCCGAAGGCTAACTTTGGTTATTTTTCTGTTGATAGGTATATTGGTAATCTGATGGGTAAACGCTCGGCTTTTGATGATTCAGACGAGGAGGAGCAGTATCCCGAGGAGAGGCCACAAGGAACTCCCCAACAGGAAATGGGTCAAGCACCCTCCCGTCAGATGATGAGGGTGCACGCAGAGAGTTCGATGAAGAGGAAGCCCTCGGACCAAACCTCGGGCTTTCAAAAAAGGAAGCGGGGGGATCCTGAGGTGGTGGAGGTCGATCCTCTGTCCTTCAGCTTGCCCGCGATTCACGAGCTATCCTCCATCGACGAACTTTTGAAGGAGGGGTACGAGGATCAAGGGCGGGGGGCAGGCCAGTTCGAGGGCGTACCCGAGGGTCACGCTCTGCTGATGTTCGACCCTCCACGGGTCGAATGGGTGGACTTGCCCGCCGCCGGAGTGCCGCAGCTGGAGGACGGCATGAGACAGGTAAAATTTTTGCTTAAGTACTTACCCCTCGTACTCGGAGGGTTCCCTTACTGATCAAGGGTATCCATGTCATGCAGGCTGTGCAGGCGGTAAACTCCTTCGTGACCGTGAGTGCGGACTTAGAGGGACAGCTGGCTTCGGCTAGGAGGAAGGCTGCCAGTGAGGCCAGCAAAGCCAGAGAGGCGGAGACACGGCTCCAGGCCCTGGAAGAGGAGAGGAGGAGATTGGAGGAGGACGTCACGAGAATGAGGGGGCAGCTCGAAGGCATGGAACTGACCCGCAGTCTCCAAATAGAGAGTCTGCTGGCAACGAGCGTCCCCGAATCTCACCTGGACGCGTACATTCTCGCGGGAGTTCAAAGGTACTTGGGGTCGTCCGAGTTCGCCCTCGAGATAAACAATGTCATGGACCCCGCCATGGAAAGAGGGGCGAGGAAGGTCGTCATGGAGATAGAGGCGGCCCGGAGGAAGAACGAGGACATCCAACCCGTCCTCGATAAGTATGCTGATAGGGAGATGAAGGGAAAGACGTCCACAGTAAGGCTGCGGTGCAAGGCCCGGAAGCACTTTCGGGACATGGACTTCGCATAGCTCCCCATCATGCAACAGATCGCCGGGACTTGCCCCTCCATTTCAAAGCCCGAAGACATCCTGAATATCCCGGGCAGCCCTTCCTTCATCTTTCAGATGCCGAGGAGAACACAAACGCCTCCGAGCACGCCGCCGCGACCCGACAAGGAGCCGGAGATAGTCGGACCTGCACCACCCCCCCAAGGGCACAACTCTGGAAGCCGCGGAGGAGGGGGCACCTCAACCGACTCCAACACCAATAGCAGAGACAAGGTGAACGATGCGTAGGGTTAGGACTCATCATAGTGATCACCTGTCTTCGGGGCTTTCTCCCCGTTGTAACTTTTTTAACCGAATATTAATGAATTTCTATCTTATTCACGGCTGACTTGTTATTACTTGTTTCATTACTTGTTTCAAACTTGTTTGTTTCTTAATATACTTGTTTCAAACTTGTTTGTTTCTTAATAATTTCAAGTCTTTGATCGTCGGCTCAATCTTACTTTTACTTTCTAGCTCGCGCCTCCTAATATTCCCATTAACACGCGCTTCCTTTCAGGGTAAGGACGTGGCTTCGGACTTCCCCCATCAGCCTGAGGGAACCTCTCAAGGCGTGCCCGCGACTCCGGGTCATTGAGAAATGTCCAGGATTCCCTGGATTGACCTACAGTTGCCCGACCCTCATTACAACCCGATGACCTTTCCACTGTATGCGGCTGTCAGAGGCATTTTGGTAGATCCGGCCATTGACAGGAGCCGAGGACGGCTGTCGGGTCTCGAAGGCCAGCTGGAAGAGGCCTTGGAAACTTTCAGGGCCTCAGAGTTGCACGAGGCACGCAGGGCCGTCATAGAGGCGAAGGCCAAAAACGACCGGCTGAATAAGTTATGGAGGGACACGGAGGCCTATTGGGAGGATCACCTGAAGAACTCTATACAGTTAGAGATATTGGCTAACAATCGCCTCCGGATATTCGAAACCAAGATATGGAAGAAAAAGAAGGACGAGGGCTTGGCCGAACCAGACCCGGAGGATTTTATTCCCCGCAACTATTTCGAGAGTGTCTTGGTACATCTCCGGAAGGCTTACGCCTTGGTTGCTGTAAAGTGGGATCGGTGCTCTGACAAGATTGAGGCTCTTGTATGCTGGTCGGCTTCGGGCAGCTTTGGAAAGCGCGATATCTTTTATTGTAGAGACGGGGAAAGAGTATGATTTTGAGGCATTGTGGCCCGAGCCCTGTCCGGCCATGCGAGACGACCGCACTTCTCCAACTCGCGAAGTCGAACGCCTGATATATGAGAACGACGCTCTGTTTTACGAGTTAGGTCGAGGGTCTCACTAGGGACATGTAATTAGGTTGTTAGGTGATTTTTGGTGTGTTTCTGCCAAGTGTATAGATCCGAGGGTCATACCTTCAAAAATTCACACATATATCATTGATTCGTCCTTTTTGAACATCGACTTGTTTTTGCTTTTCCTCATTTATTTGTTTTATTATTATTCAAGCTTTTACGGTTGTATATGTAAAATTCTGTATATTGCCGACGCTCTTTGCTACGATCTGACGGAGGTAATATGAGTATCTTCCCCTGGATTTTACATTTCAACTGTATTACTAATGTTGAGCTAATTTAGTCGATGTTTAGTTGAATCGTACTTGGTCAAGGGCCGCGGGAACCCTAGGAATTCCGTTGCCGCGAGGTCTGTTACCGTCGGCCCCTGGGGTCGAGACGGCTTTGTAAATGCCCCAAGGTCACGGAGACCGTAGGGGTTCCGTAGGCCGCGGAGGCCACACGGTACCGTCGGCCACTGGGATCGAGACGGCTTTGTAAATGCCCCAAGGTCACGGAGACCGTAGGGGTTCCGTAGACTGCGGAGGCCACACGGTGCCGTCGGCCACTGGGGTCGAGACGGCTTTGTAAATGTCCCAAGGTCACAGAGACCGTAGGGGTTCCGTAGGCCGCGGAGGCCACACAGTGTCGTCGGGCACTGGGGTCGAAACGATTTTGTAAATGTCCCAAGGACACGGAGACCGTAAGGGTTCCGTAGGCCACGGAGGCCACACGGTGTCGTCGGCCACTGGGGTCGAGACAGCTTCAAGAAGGATGGGATTCTCACAAAGGCACGGGAAGTAGTATATTAACAATAAAAGTGCCGGAGTTCTCCTGCTTGGCTATATCTATTACAAAAGTGGACAGAAGTCTTCAGATATTGAACTTCCTAAGGTTCTGGATGTTCCACCATTGAGGGATGTCTCGTGGCTCATCATCACATGTGCGCAGGCGATAACTCCTTGAGGGAGAAACTTCCACAACCTTGTATGGTCCTTCCCAATTCGGAGCTAGCTTTCCGGTCGGTTCTGCGTGGCTCGTCTCGTTTCGTCGGAGGACCAGGTCTCCGACTTCACAGTCCCGAGCCCGGACCTTGGCATTGTAGTACTTGGCCATGAGCTGCTTGTATTTGGCTTCGCGGGCTTTGGCCAGGTCTTGCCTTTCATCCAGGAAAGCAAGGCAAAGATGGATTTCGTCTTCGTTCATTTCCTCCGCGAAGTTGACCGCCCGGGGACTGGGCACCTCTATTTCAGCTGGGAGAACGGCTTCCATACCATAAACGAGGCTAAAAGGGGTTGCCATCGTGGCCGTTCTCATGGTGGTGCGAATGGCCCAGAGGACGTGCGCCAACTCCTCAGACCATAGCCCCTCGGCTCTCTTAAGCCGTGTCTTCATGCCTTGTAAGATGGCCTTATTTATATTTTCAGCCAACCCGTTGGCCTGGAGATAGGCCACGGACGAGAACCGCTGTTCGATCCCAAGCTGCTCACACCAGGATTTAAAACTCCCGATTCAAACTGAGTCTCGTTGTCTGTGATAAGGACTTTCGGAATCCTGAAAATGTTCTGCTTCGACCCATTTAGAAAAGTAGTCAATTGCAACGATCACGAACTTGAGCTTACCCGGGGCCAATGTGAAAGGCCCTATTAAGTCCGTTCCCCACTTGTAGAAAGGCCACGGGCTGCCAATTCGGACCATCTCATGCTGGGGTAGATGCAGAATAGGGGCGTGTTTTTGGCATTGCGCGCACCGAAGGATGATGTTATAGCAATCTTGGGACAGAGTAGGCCAGTAATATCCGGCGCGGATCAGCTTCTTGGCCAGGTTATGTGAACCTAAGTGAGCCCCACAAACGCCTTTGTGCATGCTCCTGATCAACGTCTCAGCTTCCCGCGGCCCGACACAGCGCAACAAGGGTGTTAGGTACCCTCACTTGTAGAGGATGCCATCCCTCATCAAGTATTTAGGCGCCTTGGGCCGAATCTTTCGGGCCTCTTCTGGGTCCGCGGGTAATGCCCCGGTCTGGAGGTACTGAACAAAGGGTGTCATCCAAGATACCTCATCCATCGTCACAGGCAAGATTTCGTCGTCCAGGACACTCGGACGCGTCCTAACTTCCATGTGAATTTGCTGGGCTAGGTGCACAGTGCGGGAAGAACCTAACTTGCTCAGGGCATCGACCCTCTTGTTCTGCGACCCCAGTATATACCGAATGTGGAAAACACGAAAACCGCGTTCCAACACCCTGACTTTCCGAAGATACTTTTGGAGTACCACCTCCCGAACCTCGTACAGCTGAAGAACATGGTTGACGACTACCAGAGAATCACTGCAAACAGAGATTTCTTGAACACCAAGCGCGTGGGCGATAGATAGCCCCGCGATCAGTTTTTCATATTCAGCCTCATTATTTGTGGCAGGAAAATCCAGCTGGATAGCATAAACAATTTCCGGCCCGTGGGGATCGATCAGAACCACGCCCGCACTCGAACCTTCTTTCGAGGACGATCCGTCGACAAACAAAACCCATAGTTGCTGCCCGGTGGGGGAAGATCTCTCAGGGACTTGACAACATTTGCTAGCCTCAGCTTCCACTCCCCGAGGGACTTCGACAAGGAAATCGGCCAAGGCTTGACCCTGATAGAGGTCCGGGGTCGAAATTCTATGTCGTGCTCCCCAAGTTCCACAGCCCACTTAGTCATCCGGCCCGATGTGTCCGACCTTCGGAGGATCTGCTGCAAGGGCTGATCTGTAAGAACAAGGATCGGGTGTGCCTGGAAATAGGGGCGCAGTTTCCAGGCAGCGGTCACGACGCAAAAAATCAACTTCTCAGCAAGAGTGTACCGAGACTCGGCGGGAAGGAGGACCTTACTGACATAATAAACAGGGATTTGCCTTCCCTTATGTTCCTGCACCAAGGCTGCACTCACCATGGACTCCCCCACGGCTAAGTACAGAATCAGAGTTTCCCCCGGGTCCGTTGTGCTCAGGGTCGGGAGAGTCCTCAAGTATTCTTTTAGTTCCATGAAGGCTTTCTAACAAGCCTCGGTCTAGCCGAAGGTATCGGACTTCTTGAGAACCTGAAAAAATGGCAAGCTCCGTTCGGCCGCTTTCGACAGAAAGCACCCTAAGGCGGCAATAGGAGCCAGTAAGCCTTTGTACTTCTTTGACGGACCGCGGAGGCTGCATTTCCAGGATGGCTTGAATCTTTGAAGGGTCCACATCGATCCCTCTCCGAGAAATCTGGTAACCTAAAAACTTTTCTAATCCGACGCAGAACAGACATTTTTTCGGATTCAACTTCATATTAGCCGCTCTGAGGGTCCGGAAGGTCTCCTGGAGGTTGTTGACAACAAGGTCAATCCGACGACTTTTCACCACCATGTCATCCACGTAGACCTCTATGTTTCTTCCTAGCTGGTCCCCGAAGACGCGATTGGCCACACGTTGGTAAGTAGCACCCGCTTTCTTTAGACCGAAGGGCATTTTCACAAAGCAGAACACCCCCCTTTCAGTGACGAAGGCCGTCTTTTCGGCATCACCCTCGTGCATTAGGATCTGGTGGTAGCCTTTGTCCGTCCAGAAAGCTAAGCACCGGGTATCCCGAGATAGCATCGACCGTCTGCTCGATTGCCGGAAGAGGGTAGCAATCCTTAGGACAGTGTTTATTGAGATCCTTATAATCCACACACATACGCCAAGAAGAGTCGGGCTTCTTGACCATGACCGGATTGGCCAACCACGTGGGATAGAAGATCTCCTTGAGGATGGACGCGGCCAACAGCTTAGTAACCTCCACATCGATAGCGGCATTGTGCTTGGGAGCCATGTTCCGCCTCCTCTGCTGTATGGGCTGCGCGCTAGGGTCGACATTTAGTTTGTGCACGCCCAATTCGGGAGGAATCCCCGTCATACCACTGGGACTCCAAGCGAAGACGTCTTCGAACTGCTTCAACAATTCAACCACTATGTCACGAAGATTGGGGGGCAAGACAGCTCCTAAGCTGACGACCCTTCCTTCTACAAAAGGATTCAGGGCCACGTCCGTAACCTCGTCATCCGTGGGACCCGAGTCATCGTTTCCTTGGTCTTCGTCTTCAGAGATCGGGGCCTCCTGGACAGACCCGACGGTTATCCTTCCCTGAAGGAAGTCACGCCCTTTCTTTACAGCGATAACCATGCATTGTCACGCCAATTGTTGATCTCCCCGAATTTCTGCAATCCTAGCGCGTCGGAGTAATCATCGGATCCACCTACCAAATCCTGCTCTGAGAAGGATATCACCTCCCTTGGACGGAGGCGTTTAGCCTCGGACTCATCTGGCGGTCGGGGGCGCGAACTCCTGCGGAGAGCGGAAACACTCTGGACCCCTTCTGGATACAATCTTGAAACTTACCCGCCTTAATACCCTCCTCAATCTCCTTTTTCAACCTGTAGCACTCTTCGGTATCATGCCCCTTGCTTGGTGAAAGTCGCACCATTCGGATGAGGATTCATTCTGAGACCGGCCCGAGGGTGGAAGCTTGAACTCACTCTTGTGAATTTGAATAATCTCCTTTCTAGTTTTGGTGAGGACGGGTACTTTGGACTCGAACTTCGGAGATCCGATGTTGAGTTTCTTTGCCTCCGGCTTCCCTGTTTTCTTCTCACCTTCGGCAAAAGCTTCTCTGTCTCTCTTCATGGACTCGTCCATCCGGATCCCCTTTTCGACTATCTCCCACAACCTCTGGATAGTGCCCGGGGGCTTAGCCGTGAGCTTGCTCCTCAGGGCAGCGCCCGCACCAAAGGGAGAGAGGCCGTTCACAAACTTGACCCTCACCACCAAATCATCGACTTAATCTATTATCATGAGTTCCTTCGTGAACCTCTCGTAGTATTCCCCCAAAGACTCGTTCCGACGCTGGCGAACCGATGACAAGTCATGGATGGTGTGCTTGGCTCTCTTGATGGAAAAGAATTGGACGTGGAACTTTCACCCTAAGTCCGCGTAAGAAGTAACGCTTTCCGGGGGAAGGCTATCGAACCATATCTTAGCGGCCCCTGTTAGAAAGGTGGGCATCGCTTTAGCAGAGAACTCTCGGGGTGAGTCTCGCAAATCCATGGCCGCGGTGTAATCGGCCAAGAAGCTAACTGGACAGGTATCACCCCCGTACTTCGGGATGTCCGTTGGGAGTTTCAAGTTTACCGGCCGAGGATAACACCGGATATGCTCGGCGAAAGGACTTCCCAGCGTCTCCCTACTGTTGAATATAGCCACGAGCCGGGGATCTGACACACCCTCGCAGTCCACCCGCGGCTCGGGTCTTGGTGGGGTTTTAGGGTCACGTTCTCTGGATCGATCTTGACCCCGAGAGACCCTTCGTTCCCCCATGAACATAAGACTGTCGTCCGGACCTTCGCCTTTGCCTCCATAATACATGTCCTCGAACTTTTTGAACTGTTCTTCGAATCCAAGGAATCTTCCGGCAAAGGATCTCCAGAAGCGGTCGTCATGTGGTCCTCGTTTAGGTGAACGGGACGGGCGAGGATGCTTGAAATGTTCTTTGCTCCTCTCCGCCTCTTTACTGGTCCGGCAGGACCGGCTCCTTCGGTGTACGGCTGATCCGTGGCTGTGGCCCTCGCGAGGATCGTCAGACCCCCTAGAGCGGCCCTGACGGTCATTAGTTCGGGAAGCCCCTTCGGCATCCTCGTCTCGGCGTTCTCCGCAGGACCGGGCGGATACGCGGGAACTCCCCCCTACCACCCTCGATCTCAATTCAGGCCTGCGACTCGTCCCTTCGTCGAGCCTTGTCCGGGTGGAGACCATTACTCTCGTAGAACAACTGGATTTGCTCTCGGCCAAACAGGAATAGATGTTCCCGCAGACGGTGCCACTTGTCAAGGGTAAATACCGGGGGCGGAGAGTCAACGGTCCGACCTAGACAGGAACCTGCAAGACGGAGGTTAGCACTCCGAAGATTAAGTCAGTTCTAGGGAGAGAAGTTGGCAATTATGAGACTTAGAGAGAGAAACGAGAGTGTGGAATTGAGTTAGCAATAAATGAACAAGGAATATTTATAGGTCCCAATGGGACAATACCTGTGGGCCCCTGTGTTGAGAGGGGTAAAAGCATAAATAAACATGTGTTTATTCCTTGTAACCCGGCTGGGCCTTTAGGAAGGAATAAATGGACTTCTTGGGCTTACAAGATAAGCTCAAACCGGATGGCTAGTTGGACTGGTCAAAGTGGGTCAGAGTTGACCCCCAACAATACCATATAAAAGAAAATAATTGAGAAATTCAATAATCATGTCAGTAAGTTTTTAGGAAGTCTATTGTATATGTTAATTAGGGATTATACATAATACCTCGTACATATGAGAGTACCGCAAGATCATCCAAAAAATTACCAATTTCAATATCTGCAATGGAAATTTCAACATAACCTTTAAGCCCCAAAAAAATTCAAACAATCAAATGAAAAACATATTATAGGACTCTGCTTCTTACCTTGATTTCCAAAGGCAGTTTCATACTAATAGGCAATCGGCCATCATCGACGGTGGTGCTTAATCAATTATCCTTTGTCAATAATCAATAATACTGACTTTATGTAAATTCACAGGCAGTGCTCCACTTCTTTGATTTAAATATCCAATATTTGATAGAAACAATAAAATTAGAAACGCAAAAACAAAAAATAAACGGGAAATCTCCCCCCAAAAAAATGTTTACTTGAGTATTTTTCCGTCAGAATGTAAACGCCTGATTCTACCCTGCTCACCAAAAAAAAAAAAAAAAACGAAAAAAGGAAAATTGTGAACAGGCAACAAAGAATAGGATCGGTCATTAAAATAGAGGTGTTATTGTAAGAAAAAAAAACAGAAGAAGAAGAAGAAGAAGAAGAAAAGAAACGGGAGAACACAAAAAAAAAAAAATAAAATAAAATAAAAAAATTGTTTACCTGAGAATGATTGAATTCTGATTATGAATGTCTATGCCAAAATAAATAATGAGCAACTTTAATAGGATACTAGATGCTTGTCCCGAGCAAATGCCCGGGGGCGTCCCACCTAATAAATCGATATGTAAATAATCAAAATTGATTAGGAATGAATTTAGTTTTTTATGAAGATAATTGATTGACCAGAAATTAATTTTTCGGAAGTCCTAAATAAATGGAGAAGGAAAATTTCATACACTGTCAAATTCAAAATTTGAATGAACGTGACCATCTGATCTCTTCGTTAATATTGTAAATATATTTTTTATTTTTAAAAGACGGTGACACGTGGCAAAATGATTAATGCAATATGGTGCATTTGGAGCCAAAACATTTTAATAAGAAAATGCCACATCAGCATCCTGTTTTCTGCTTTAATAGGGTAAAAAGGATAAGGCGTATCTTAAGAAATTATTTTTAAAAAAAATACTTAAATAATAGCATTATCATTAAAAATTAAATCATTATCTTAAATTTAAAAGTATAATTTAATTTCCAGTAGAATTGGTTATTTTGCATGAGTTTCATTTCGGATAACGATGAACTCATACTTCGAAAGTGATATGTTTATGATAATTACCAGAAAATTATCTTAATCTTCTATATTAAAAAAATCTTAACAAACCAAAAATCTTCAATTTTTTTTTTTAAAAAATCTGATAATAATAACCAACCAGATTCTGTTTAGGATAAATTGGGTTGAAATAAAAAAGTTAAACTAAAAAATTATACACTAAAATTTATTACATCTAATTGAACTGCTTTTTCCAAATCTTGAAAATCACTTAACACGGTCGCGTAGTTTAACCTAAATCTCTCCTCTATTAATACATATCATTGTTTCCTTAATAGTTCTACAAATCCTAAAGCGACATATAAAAGTAAAACAGGTAGTATAATTTAATTTAAATTATAAATGGACAATGTGAAAATGAAGGAAATTTATAATTACATACTACCAAATATCTTTTATTCAGATTCTAGATTAGGATTAGATTTTTGGTAATTATGGATTAGGACTAATTAGTTACGTTTTAAATTTTAAATAAAAAATAACTATTGTGTAGATATTTAGAGATTAGGAGATAGTAGATATTATCTGAATAATAGTAACAATAGCAATAACTGAAATATTTCACAGCATATTATATTTGTAGCACGTATCTGTTTAAATTTTCTAATTGAGCCAGAAAGCTCAATTTTTCCTGAATCTTCCTTTCTTAATAACAAAGATTTTATCAAAACTAATTATAACTTCTTCTGAACGTGTTTGTGCAGTTTCGATTTTAATTTTTAGTTCAAATTGTACTACATATAAGAATCCAAACCATATAATCATTTGGAGACAAAGTCCCAAAAACTTGAAAATAGTCCTAAATGAAATTTAAGATTAGTACTAATAATAATAGTACAAATTTTAAAAGGCCAAGGTGAAGAATTTTTAAAAATAATGGAAGTGTTCTTTTCTTTAATAAGAGAAACTAAAGCCTGTAACAAAGATCTCAAAGTCATCCACGAACAAAAAAAATAAAATATAATCTTGTACTCCCACTACCATTGTACTGAATATATTTCTCCCTCTTGAGACTTTTCACGTATAAAGTATCTTCATTCAACAAAAATTTGACTACCTCCCGTTGAGGCAGAGCACATGGTATGTACATTGTAACCATGCCGTGCCAGAGGGTAAAGATTAATCCAAACTGTCTATCATCTAAGATCGGTAGCCTAACTATCCAGAGTAGGATTTGTGGCCTGCTTCAATTTGCATAAAGTTCCTAACCATTCCTTTCATGTGACCGACCCATTGAGATAGGTTGACCTGGCACTTCTCCTGCCATGTCCTGTCTTTGGACTACCGAGCACAAATTCAGTTCTTTTTACTAGAGCAATTTTTATGTAGACCAAATATTGCAAACACTTCCAACATACAAACGAACAAGAGTGCCAGAAAGGATTCTCAAACAGCAAAAAGTGTAATTTTCACTCTGTCATCATCAAACATGGCGAGGGATGACCTTGGATTGAATATTACTGAGCTTAGGTTGGGGCTCCCAGGCAGTAGCATTTGCCAAGGCCTTGAGAAAAAGGGGAAGAAAGGGTTGTTTCCTGACATTGAAAGCGGTGAGAAAGGCAGTTCGTCAAGTGATAGCAAATCTCCGCATAAAAATGAAGTTGTTGGATGGCCGCCGGTTTGGGCGCCTGTAGTAAGGACCAAAAGCTCGATTTCTGAACAGGTCTTAAAAATGTACGTAAAAGTCAGCATGGACGGCGCCCCTTTTCTGCGCAAAATTGACTTAACGGCTCAAAAAGGCTACTCAGATCTCATCGCTCAACTAGTAAAGCTGTTCGGCAGTTATGGTATTGGTAAGCACGGTTATTATATATGACTTAAATGATATATTTTCTTGGTTTCAAACTCGATTATGGAGATTAGTCTTTGTACATTTGCAGTTGTATTTATGTAAGCATATAAATATTAGTATTTTCTAATTTAATTTACTTGTAAGGACTTTATTTTTATCCAAATAATCGCTTTATTTTTATCAAAGGGAAAATAGGTCTTTTTGTCCCAAAGTTTGGGCCACACCATCCAAAATATCCCAAAGTTTAAGAACATGACATTTACATCCCAAACTTTTTAAAAATATGTTACATTAGCATATTCGTTAAATTTTTAACTTCAATTAATTAATTAGTGGTGGTACTTTATTCTGTTTCTCCTCCCTCAATTCTTTTAATCATTTAATACGTTCCACTAACTCCCACCTTATAAGAAAATAGCTAAACCTAATTTGGTCTTCACATCATCCATTCTTCCCTTGCTTAGAAAAAGAAAAAAAATAACAAGATTCACCTTCTAGATTGATAACAATCATAAGAGGTTGTGTATGTGTCCTAATTAGAAAGTAAGTCATATTTCATTTATTTTTTTAAATATGTAGTATCATTATAAAAATTGGTGTTGTAATTGATGCAGGGGCATGCAACTTTTTTGCTTGGCATGGACCAAATTTACCAAACGCAAGTATGAAATTTTTTTGACTAAAAAAATGGGGGAAAAGAAACTGAATGAAATATCGCCGTTAATAACTTGAAAAAATTAACAAATGTCTTAATATTACATATTTTTGAAAAGTTTGGGATGAAAATGACATGCTTTTAAGTTTTGGGATATTTTAGATGTTGTGGCTCAAAACTTAGAATGAAAAGGCCCATTCTCCCTTTTATCAAATTAATAACAACATTAAATTCAATCTCTAATGTCACATTAAAATAAAATATCTAGTGTGGATAACAAAACAATGATGTAATATATTTTATAATTTAACTCAACAGACTATAGGAGGTATTGATACTCTTTTACCACAAAAACAACTAAAGAAAATATAAAATCATTCAATCTACGAAAACGTTTTCCAACCGAATTTTCCTTTTACTAAATCCAACATGTATTGCAGCTACTTATCACCAGATCTTATTATCCATTGCCTCTAGTATTTTTTTTTTTTCTCTGCCGCCACCACCACCACCATCATTTTTACCACTTTTCATTTGCCTTCAAATTAAAATCATATACAACTAATAAGACTTTCTAAACAACTGAGGCTGATAATAAAACTTGAAAATTATTAAAAATAGATAATTCAAAAATAATCTGTACAACTAGTAGCAATGAGAGTCGTGGCATCATGTTTGAAGAATTATGCTATATAGACAGATATGTATGCAACCACATTTTTGGAATTTTTTTGGATGAATGTATTTTACGTAAATATTTTTGAAATGTAATGATTAATAAAGTAAAATCATATTAGATTGTAATTCAATGTCCCGGGGTGTTGTCTTTCTGTTACTTTATAGGTATAAGACGTAAAACGCCAGATAAATCCTAGAGAACATTGGCGGTCTTAAGTTTCTTGTGTCTTGGTGGTGGTACTATGGCAGATGGCACTACTTAAGTTTCACGGAGGAGACATAAAAGTACTCACTCGGCCAAATAAGTCCTGTCGCGCGCTTCGGATGTTGAAAGTTGGAGAAATGGATAAAACAATCTAGGACGGACGGTTACTTGAAGCCGGGCAAATTGTCGTTCTTTCACCTAAAACAACATTCATATCAGCCAAATGAATTTTTTCTCACCAAAATACTGAGTGTTAAATACTAAATTATAAAAATCATGAATTTATTAAGCAGTTAATGAATAAGTAATAGTCTAACTTTTATTCCTTATATTTTGTACTGTAGTTTCAGTACTATTTAATTCTTTTAATTAGTTTTTATTATTAAACATACTAAAGTAAAAAAATGTTTAATGAAATAATTTTACATAATAATTGGTATTATCAAACAACTTTGATTAATTTTGATTTAAAATGTTAAGGCTTTGTTTGGTTATAAGGATTTAGAGCTTAAAATTATTACCTCAATGTGGATGAGGTGACCATTTTTTTTTTTTAGATGAAGGGAGCTTAGACTACGTTGTCATATACGAGGACAAAGAGGGGGATTGGATGCTCATGGGAGATGTTCCTTGGAGGTATGTCCCAATTAGACCAAACCAATCGAACTTCAAAGCTAACAATTCTTTTCTTATTATTATTATTATTATTTTATGATGGATTCTATATGCAGTCTTTTCTCCTTTTTTTTTTTTTTTCCCTTTTAGAAAGGATAAAGCTCATCTTTATGACTGATTCTGTTATTTTATTTTTATTTTTATAAGGTATGACTTTTTAAATATCACCTTATAAATTGGATCGGGGGAGTGTATTACTAAATTCCGTCTCACATTCATGGAGCATGATCTCCTAAGTTGTATACATATAACAATCTAGGCAATTAGCCTCCCGTCATGAAATTATTAAACAAAAAAAGAAAAATCCGTCTCACAAGTTTCTTCTTCTCTATCAACAAAATTTCAGCTTTGCGAAAAAATTATTCTTCAGTGAAGACACCAGAAGATTAATGAATGATATGTCTTGATTGTTTTGTTGGGTTACATTTAGTACCCACCCGCCAATTACACCAGTCTTTAAAGTATGTTCTTGATTTTTTCTTTCTAATGGCATTAAAAGATTTGGAGTCACTTTTTAAGATTGGATGATTTTCTTTCCTATTCAAAACCTTCCCAACTAGATTGATTAAGAGTATATTTCCTAAATATTTTTCTATCAAACATTTTTCCTCCGAGAAAAATTTATTCATTCGCGCATAGATGTCAAACAGTATATAAGATTATTGCTTAATTTAGTGCCCAAATTAGCACTGACTTGTGTCAATCACTCATAGCATGCCTTTGAATTTGAAATTTTGAAATACAGACTCCTTACGCACTAATTCATCAACTATACCTTATTGTCTTGTAGTATATTCCTTGAATCTTGCAAAAGATTAAGGATCGTGAGAAGCAGCGATCGGAGGATAGGCATCGGAGAGCTCCATACAAAAAGTTAGTTTGATTGAAGCTGAGAGGATGGCTATTGTTTGCGATATTTAACTTTAAAATGTGATTATCATAACCAGGCTATTTGCCCTTGCATGTGGTGATTTAAGATCATTGTCGCTTGCTCATCGAAACATGTATTCTGGCCCTGGTTTTGAATTAGCATTTCCTTGCCCGTCCGGACATATTCTATTGGAATTGTAGCAAAATAATTGGATTCTGTGTGGAGCTAGCTTAATTGAGTGCTTGGATTATGGTATTAGCAACTCCCTATCTCTCACACAAATATATACTCCCTCCGTCCCATAATTATTGTCCACTTTGCCTAAAAAATTTTGTCCCAAAATTATTGTCCAATTTGACTTTTTATGGATCAAGTTGCACATTTGTCCTTAGTAAAAAACATTATACATAAAATCTTAGTGGTTAAACAATTACTTATGTAGGGATATATCCAGTTGTTTAAGGTAAAATATAGTTAAGTTTGACCAAAAATAAAATCTTTCATTTTAGTAAAACTGGATAATAATTATAGGACGGAGGGAGTACTAGAGAGTAGGTGCTGCATATTGTGCAGCCCAAGGTGAGGTATAGCCCAGTAATTTGGGTATTTTTTTTAGTTTTGTTTTTAAAGTGAAAATTAATAAATTGACATACATAAAATATTTGATTTTAGCTTTTTTTTGAAACCAAAAAGTGATCTCCAATGACTAAACGGTTTGTACTTCGTTAAGCTTTCTTAAAATTCTGGTGAAAATTTTTATTTGATTAAACATGGTAACTGTGTATTTCTTTTTCTTTCTTTTCTTTTTCTTTTTTAAACTGAAATAGAAAAACATCTATAATCATTCTAAGAAAATGCTACAATGAGAAAACTAACTTTTATTACTTATATTTTGTATTGTAGTTTCAGCACCACTTAATTCTTACTTTGTTTTCTTCACCCTGGCCAAAAATAAATGAATAAATAAAACTACTCTCTTGATCCAAACCTGTCAAATTTTTTTTCATATTGACATTATTTTTATGAGATTTATGGTTAACACCTGATATGATTTTTTTTTTTTTGTATACAATAGAATAATGAAAATTCTATTTAAAATGAAAGTATATAAAAATCAATTTTTATTGTTTCGATTAATATAAAGTTATAAAACTATTGGATACATAGGACCAAATTAACGTCTGATATGCTTCCTGAAATAAAGTTTCTTTTGAATCTAAAAGTTAAGGCTCCGTTTGATAATCACTGAAGTCTGAATCTAAACACTTAACACTTAACACTGAGGTCTGAAGTCTGAAGATTGAATTTATATTGTTTGATAAAACTGTCTGAATTTGATGTCTGAAAACTGAAGTCTGAAGTCTGAAAACTGAATCTGAATATTCAAGTCTGAAAGTTATTTAAATTTTTAATATCATTAAAACTGAATCATAAACAAAATTATTTTAAATAGAAAAATAACTAATATTTTGTTCTAAATAATAAAATAATAATTTTAAAATAATTTTTTGGTATATATAATGAAAGTCGATATAACACTTGGTAAATAATCAATATATAGTTACATTTAGATTATTTACATATATCGATATAGATATATATATATATATATACCTTGTTATTTAGCAAATTTTATGTATTAATTTGAGTGAAAGTTCAAAATTTTTTTATACTCATGATATAAATTTAAATTTAAGCACTATTAATTAATTTATCTTAAAAAATAAAAATTTTAAAACAATGTAAAAATAAGCGTCGAAATAAGACGAGTGAAAAAAAAGAAAAAAAAATGAGAAAATGAGTCATTACAGAAATTAAGTGTTAAGTGATAAGTGATAACTGCTAGGCCTATCACTTATTTTCTGACTTACAATTAAACTGGCCATTCAGACGCACTTAATTAATTTAGACAGTGAAATTTTAGTATTTTAGATGGTCCGGCATGTCAATAGTATTGTGCTATGTTCTTAATTAATTTGTCTTTTACTCATAGTCACAAGTGCTACTAAAAAAGTACTATGTTTTTATTTTTCAATGGAAAATATTCAAAATTTCAAATTGTCGGTTAGTTCTTTCCATCGAAATTGCTTATCTATGAAATTTTAGATGATTTTAAGTGAATTAATATAATATTTTAAGAAAAAAACACTCACACAACGTGCATGGAAAGAACTAATATTTATTTTATAGGAATTAATTATATCGATGGTGCTTGAAGTTGAACCGGATTATTTGGACTGAATTTGGAGAAGAAAACTGAAGTTGAAGACTGAATTGAGTATTGAGAAAATAAGGAAGGAAAAAAGCGGTGATACCAAGGACTTCAAGAACCAAGCATGCAATATGATTTTACGTTTGACATTTCATGGCCTCAGGGTCCAACACCAAATTAAACAAAAGATGAAGGACATGATTGTAAGATTTCTAGTAGTTGTAGTTAGGCATAAAACTTAATTATCCTGACTGTAAACGACATCAAATGAAATTTATGGAATCTTCTTTCCAATTCTTCTCACCCTCCCCTCCCTGCTGTTTCTAATCCCTATTTCTTTTAATTAAAAATTATCCCTGCCATTACAGATTTTTCCCGAAATAAGGGAGCAAAACCTTGGCCCATTTGGGCCTAATTTAACATGCAATATGATTTTAGGTTTGACGTTGGGTTTTTCCCGAAATAAGGGAGCAAAACCTTGGCCCATTTGCGCCTAATTTAACATGCAACATGATTTCACGTTTGACGTTGGGGTTTTCCCGAAATAAGGGAGCAAAACCTAGGCCGTTTTGGGCCTATAATTTAACCAGTAAACTGTCACAGCCTGGGGACTTGATCGACATTTTGACACAATACAAGGGTTCTTTTATAATTCTTCGTCAAATAAGTCAACTCAGACGACATTAGGGGGTATTAACTGTGCATTTCATTTCGTCTGCATTTTGGTTGTATTTTCCATTCCGGTTAAAAAAACTCCTTTCCCGGCCAGCTGGAAATTTTTGGGGGATTCAACCGTCTATCGGAGATTCCTTTTATAAATAGGACTGTGTAACCGCCCTTGGGGTTTTTGTCAAAGAAATACACCATAGTCAGTTTTCTTTTTTCCATCTCTCTTTGTTATTTGTCCTACTCTTCGGAGTCTGATTGTAATTTCGGTAACTCTGCCGGTATCTGACACGTTGGTATCGGAGCCGGGGAATTTCTCGGCTCGAACCTCGATGGCGGAAGGTACTAGATCCATGAAGCAATTGGAAAAACAGATCAAGAAGCAGGAAGCTCGTTTAGCTGAAGTCACGGCTAGATTTAACGATCATGTCAATGGTAAGTTTTTGGAGTTTCAGAAGCAAATTGAGGCCAAACTGAAGACGGCGATGGAAAGCATGGCTACGAAATCTCAATTGGATCGGATGGAAGCAATGATTACATCTCTAGCTCAATCTCAGATCCATTCCGGTCCGATTCCACCGGTTAGAGACAAGGCACCGATCAGATTTGAGGATATGCCGGCAGAGAGGTCACCTGTGATGTTGAATTCAGGAAATGCTTCAAGAATTCACACTGATGGGGAATTTACAACAGCAGCAAGAGATCGTGGCTTCCGTCCTCAGTGGTTCACTCAACCAAAGTTGGAGTTACCAATGTATGAAGGAGAAGGAAACCCTAGAACGTGGATCCGCAAGTGTGAGAAATTTTTCCTGTCACATCAAGTGGCGAAACATTGGAAAGTGGAACACATTGAGTTGTATTTGGAAGGGAAAGCTGAAATTTGGTTTCAGGCTACAAAAATGCTGAAACTACAACTGTCTTGGGTTGAATTCAAGAATGGACTGATTAGAAGGTTTGTTGAGAAAGGAATGCAAGATGATGTGGAAGAGTTTAATAAATTGATTCAGCAGGGTAATGTGAAGGAATACCAGGAGAGATTTGAAGATTTGAGGACCCGAATGTTGTGCAAGGATCCTCACTTGACTGAGGGTTATTTTATTTCCAGTTTTATCAGTGGACTGAAGGAAGAGATCAAGCCTATGGTTCGGATGTTGCCTCATCAAGACCTGAATGAAGTGTTTGATATTGCATTACTTCAAGAGCAAAATATGTCTGTTAACGCTAAAGCTGGAAGGATCAACCATTCTACACCTGCTAAGACATATATTTCCTCAGTTAAGGTACCTGAACATCCTAAACCTCCTGTTAAGAAAGAGAGTATGTCTGGTCAATATAAAAGTTTAACTCATGAAGAGTATCAATATAGAAGGAACCATGGTTTGTGTTATAAATGTGCTGAAAAATTTGGTCCGGGTCATAAATGCCAGTTTAGGAACTTTAATGTGTTGATTGTGGATGAAGACTGTGATGAAAATTCTCTGTCAATTCCTGAACTGAATGTTGATGATGGCCTAGACATTAATGATTTGACATTGGATGAGCGATCATTGCATGTTTTGTCTGTTACACCTGTGAAGCAAACCATTCTTATAGTGGGGAAAATTGGTGGAAGATTTATTAGAATTTTAATAGATACGGGTAATACAGACAGTTTTCTTGATATTAAAGTGGTGATGGACTTGCAACTTCATTATGAGGAATCTGAGCTATACACTGTTACTGTGGGGAATGGAAGTCGGGTTTCTAGGAGTTTGATTTGTCCTGAACTGAGATGGGACATTCATGACTTGAAATTTAGTTATGATTTGAAGATTATGAACTAGGCGGTTATGATATGATTCTGGGTGTGGATTGGATGGCTCATTATAGTCCTATTACATTTGATTTCTTGGATATGAATATTAAATTGAGCAAATATGGGAGGCAATATGTTTTACATGGAGATGGTAGGGGGGTGAGTATGCAGTTAATCAAGGAAGAAGAGTTCATAGAAGTGGCACAGGATAAGAGAAGGATGGTATCTTCACTTCATTTGAATTCTTTGTTGAGAAATGAACAACCAGGGCCGTTGGAGGTACCTGAATCTGTGTTGCAGCTGACTCAAAAGTATGAAGGAATTTTTGCTACTCCAACATCTTTGCCCCCCCCCCCCACCGGTTTATAAATCACCACATAGTGCTAAAAGAGGGTTCCAAACCTTTGAAAATTCCGCCATATCGTTGTCCTCATGCCTGGAAAGATGAAATTGAGAAGCAAGTGGATGAAATGATAGAACATGGAATTGCTTAGCATAGCACCAGTCCATATGCATCTCCGGTGGTTTTAACTAGGAAGAAAGATGGCAGTTGGAGATTATGTGTTGATTTCAGAAGACTGAATGAGATGACTGTAAAAGACAAATTCCCAATACCTATTATTGAGGAATTATTAGATGAACTGGAGGCCGCTACTGTATTTACCAAACTGGACTTCAGATCGGGGTATCATCAAATCAGAATGGAGGCGGTGGATATTCCCAAAATGGCATTTCACACTCACCACGGTCATTTCGAGTTCTTGGTGATACCATTCGGCTTAACTAATGCCCCGTCAACCTTCCAGGCTTTGATGAACCAAGTATTTCAGGGTCTGCTCCGAAAGAGCATTCTTGTGTTTTTTGATGACATTCTGATCTATAGTTCTAGTTTGGAACAGCATTTGGTAGATTTGGAAGAGGTATTTGGGTTGCTGCAACAGCATCAACTTTTTGTTAAAAAAAAGTTAAGTGTTCGTTTGCCCAGCCATCAGTGGACTATTTGGGACACACCATTTCAGCTGGAACAGTAAGCATGGACAAGAGTAAGGTGGACTGTATTGTTGACTGGCCTATACCAGCAAATGTCAAGCAACTGAGGGGCTTCTTGGGTTTGGCTGGCTACTATCGACGCTTTATTAAACACTATGGTTTAATTTGTCGACCTTTAACGGACCTTCAAAAGAAGAATGCTTTCCCCTGGACTCCAGCAGCTGAAAAAGCCTGTTTGGAACTTAAAACAGTGATATCTACTTTTCCCGTTTTGAAAATGCCTGATTTTTCCATTCCTTTTGTGGTGGAAACGGATGCTTGTGAAACAGGTATGGGGGTTGTACTTATGCAACAGGGTCAGCCTATTGCTTATATATTAGCAAGGTTTTTAACAAACAGAATCAAGGCTTATCTGTGTACGACAAGGAATTGATGGCGTTGGTTTTAGCCGTCACAAAGTGGAGGCATTACCTTGTTGGAGTTCATTTTATTGTCAAGACCGATCATCAATCCTTAAAGTATTTGTTGGAACAAAAGGTTGTTAGTTCCTCTTAACATAAGTGGTTAACTAAGCTGTTGGGTTATGACTACGAAATTCACTATAAGAGGGGCAATGATAACACTGCTGCGGATGCTTTGTCCAGGAAAGTACATTTTATCTCTGATAGTGGAGGATTCGACAGCTCAGTAGCAGGAGAGCAGTATGCAATTACAACAGCGCAACCAAGCCGTGAAGGACCTTATTGTGGTAGTAAGTACCCATCCTGATACCGTTCCTGATTTTCAGTATATCCAGGGTATATTAAGAAAGAAAGGGAGGATTTATGTTGGCTGCGGTACTAGTATCAGGACTGATCTGATGGAAACCTTTCATTCTTCTGCCTTGGGTGGACATTCAGGCCAGAATGCTACTATTCAGAGATTGAAGTCATTTTTTTTTTTTGGCCTAACTTGAAGAAGGAAGTTGTAGCTTATATCCGGCAATCCGAGGTCTGTCAGAGGAATAAAAGTGAACATGTTTTATCCCCTGGAATGCTTCAACCACTTCCTATACCTATCCATGCTTGGAAAAGCATTTCCATGGACTTTATTGTTAAGCTTCCCCTTTCTCGGAATGTCAACACTATCATGGTTGTGGTGGATCGAATAACCAAATACAATCATTTCTTGGCTTTAGGGACTTCTATCACGGTGGCGCGGGTTGCTGAACTGTTCATCAATGAAGTGCTTAGGTTGCATGGTTTACCGGAGGACATTGTTACTGACAGGGATCCAGTGTTTACCAGCCATTTCTGGCAAGCTCTTTTTCAGCATTTAGGAGTTAAACTGAAAATGAGCACTTCATACCACCCACAGACGGATGGTCAAATGGAGAGGGTCAATCAGTGCATTGAAACTTACTTAAGATGTTTTTGTTGTGACAAACCGGATTCCTGGAGCTCCTGGTTACCTATAGCTGAGTGGTGGTACAATACTTCCTACCATGTCAGCATTCAAATTTCTCTTTTTTGAAGCCTTGTGTGGAGATAAACCAACTCCATTTCCATTGGGTCCCTTTATTGAAAGTGTTATACTTGCTGCTGATGATAAGATTAGCTAGAAGGTTAGGATTTTGAAACTGTTGAAGGAGCATTTGGTAAAGGCTCAGAATAGGATGAAGGTATATGCTGGTCAAAAACGCTTTGAAAGGTCGTTTGAAGTTGGAGATTGGGTCTTTCTGAAACTGCAGCCATATAAACAGTCTACATTGGCAGTCAGATCATACTTAAAGCTGTCTTCAAGATACTTTGGTCCCTACAAGATTTTGGAAAAAATTGGATCGGTTGCCTATAAGTTGCAGTTTCCAGCTCAAGTCCGAATCCATGATGTCTTCCATGTGTCTATTCTCAAAAGGTTTCATGGCCATATTCCTGTTGTAAGCACTCCACCACCTGATTTTTCTTTGCTAGAAGAATCAACCTTGTGTCCGGAGAAGGTGCTGAAACGTCGGTTCATTCTACGAGATAATCATCAGGTTGTGTAATGGCTTATTCAATGGAAGGGATTCAGTGAAGATGATGCCTCTTGGGAAGACTAGGGATTTATGCAGAAACAGTTTCCCGGTTTTAAACCTTGAGGACAGGGTTGACCTTATCATGGAGGGAGTTGTCACAGCCTGGGGACTTGATCAACATTTTGACACAATACAGAGGCTCCTTTATAATTCTTTGTCAACTAAGTCAACTCAGACGACATTAGGGAGTATTAACTGTGCATTTCATTTCGTCTGCATTTTGGTTATATTTTCCATTCCGGTTAAAAAAACTCCTTTCCTGGCCAGCTGGAAACTTTTGGGGGATTCAACCGTCTATCGAAGATTCCTTTTATAAATAGGACTGTGTAACCGCCCCTGGGGTTTTTGTCAAAGAAATACACCATATTCAGTTTTCTTTTTTCCATCTCTCTTTGTTATTTGTCCTACTCTTCGGAGTCTGATTGTAATTCCGGTAACTCTGCCGGTATCTAACATAAACTGACAATCATTCACATGTCCAAGGCCCACAGGCATAACAGGCCCTAAATATGATCTTCGTACACCACAAACCTTGTTTGTTTTAATTTTTTTTTTTTAATTATGTCATTCGAATAATCTAACTTTCAATTGTTTTTTTTTAATATACCATTATAGGTATTCTAGGCTATTACATTTGTGGGATCTACTGGGGAAGAGGATACTACTACTAGGGAGAGACTCTATGCGTGCACACCTCTGTTACGCGCTCTCCTGGGCTGCAAGCTGACCTCCGGGACTGCCTCTGGCCTCCAAACTGAATACTACTACTAGAGAGAGACTCTACGCGTGCACACCTCTGTTATGCGCTCTCCTGAGCTGCAAGCTGACCTCCGGGACTGCCTCTGGCCTCCAAACTGTAAGCCTGCATAGGCAGCAGTCTACTGGGGGAAGGGGATACTACTACTAGGGAGAGACTCCACGTGTGCACACTTCTATTATGCGCTCTCCCTAGCTACAAGCTGACCTCTGGGACTGCCTTTGGCCTCCAAGCTGCAAACCTGCATAGGCAGCACTTAAAGTGCTCCTGGCGGGGTTTGAACGTGAGACCTCTTGGGACCTCAAGTTTTTTATGCCATGCCCACTACCACTTGGGCAATCCCTTATTGGTAGTTTCAATTGTTAAATATATTATTAATCACCAATAATTATAACTAACAATAATTTAACTTTTAATTATTAATGATTAGTAATTATAACTAATAATTGATATAATAATTTACCAAGTTTTATAATCATTTATAATTCAATTAATTCTCTCTACGGTTAGTTATTAATCCAAGTTTTATGATCTCACAAAATGGGTGTAGTAACTTTTGTCCAACAACGAAAACCCATTAGCAAAAGCGATCAATAATGAGACTCCTTTTCTGGACTACTTTACCGGGGAGGTGATGGTGAGATGTCGGGGAGCAGAATATGATTCAGGAAGTTGGACGAAAATAGTTTCATTATTCTGATAATTTTTTCTTTTTTTTTGGAAAAAAATCTGTTCAAAGATGGTGAGACTCACAATCTACTAAGAAATAAATAAAAAGATAAAGATTTAACAAAAAAATAAATTGGACCATTAAGTTTTGAAAATTCCATTAAAGTGACTAAAATTGTTGAAAAAAAAAGATATTAGGCGATTGATTTTGTTGTTTGAAAATACATTGCGGGCTCCTGTTCAGAAAAAAATTAATAAAAAATTTAGAAAACTTAACATACGAAATAATTGATCATTAGTTGACTATAAATTTCGTTAAATTGATTAAAATTAGTGAATAAACAAAAAGACGGTGACCAATTTTGTTGATCGAAACTTTATGGTGACTCGAGATTGTGACACCCCAAACATAAGAGACTAAAAGTGAGTTCTGTCCAAAATTTATATATTAATATTTTGTTTATGGCAGGAAAAATGTGTATAGAAATACTTCATCTATCTTAAAACGATGGTGCAAAAATTATTGATAAATTAATCGAGTTATATTAAGAAAAGATATTACATTAAATAAGGTAATATTTGAATACAAAATGAGAAAGAAAAAACTAAAATAAATGAAACTGGTAAAAAAATTGAAAAGGGATAAATCTGACTGTGCATCTTTCTTTTTTTATTTAGAAAATTAAGAATCACTACAATGATGGAAGAAAGATTAAATGGAGACACGGAAATGATCTAACAATGATTTTTATTCTGTTCTGTTGTATGTCCAACAATAGAGTCATGCCGTTGGGGAATCTTTTTTCCCGGTAATAGCAACTGGTTGGTGAAAGTATTATTTTGTATTTCCAGTTGTAATAGTTTAGTAATTACTAACTCCGTTTTTTTTTATTCGTTGTTTTAGGATGAATCCAAAGCGTTTTTTTATCTGTCACACTTCATTTCCAATGCAACATTAAATACAGTTTTTCAAATTTTACCCTTATCCATCTGTACTTTTAATAACATATATTAATGACAACTACCTAGTCTTTTACTTCAATTTCAAATTTTTAGAGTTCCAATACTTTTAATTAGAGGTAAAAAAGACAATATTTTTATAAATGAAATTCTCAATCATTGTTTTCTTAATAGTTGTACTAACCCTAAAGCGACAAATAAAAAAACGAAGGTAGTGGTTTAGTGACTGTTATCTCCAGTCAGTCGTTGTTAGACGTTCTGTATCAATCAGAACTGGTTGATTTCCAACAACAGTAATAAAGTCATTTTTCTTTCCAAAATAAAATTGATTAATTGGAAAATCTCAATTATATTGTTAAAACAAAGATCTCTGCGTAATAAAGAATTTAAATATAAACATTTTTTTATGCCGACAGAATGTATATAGAAATACTTCATTCTAAAACAACAGCGCAAAAATTAATGAAAAATTAAATGAGTTATATAAAGAATGTATATTAAATTAAATAAGGTAACATTTGAACACAAAACATGCAAAAGAAAAAAAAAATACAATAGATGAAACGCACAAAACAACTGAAAAAAGATAAATCTGATTATGCATCTTTAACTTAAAAAGTTGAGAATCACTACTATGATGAAAGCGAGATCAAATGAAGACAAGAAAATGATCTAAGATTATTTGGAGAAAAAAAAATTCTCAATTGTGAAGAACGCATATCACAGTAAATGAAGAAATATTTGAACACAAAACATGCAGTAAAACAACTGAAAAAGGATAAATCTAATTGTGAGTCTTTAACATAAAAAGTTGAGAATTATTACAATGATGAAGAAAGATCAAACAGAGACACAAAAAGGTCATAAGAAAGATTAACTGACGAAAAAAAAATTTATATAATACTTTTTAGATTCTAGATCTCGCAAAACTGGTGTAGGAAAGAATTTAAAGACAAGCATTTTTTTTTATGGCAGCAGAATGTATATTGAAATATTTCCTCCATTGTAGAAGGAAGGGTGGTGCAAATTTTTTAAAATAAATTAAATGAGTTTCAGAAAGAGTGGATATTACATTAAATGAAGTAATATTTGAATACAAGATATGCAAATAATAATAATAATAATAATAATAATAATAATAATAATAATAATAATATAATTGAAACGGGTAAAACAATTGAAAAAGAAAACATCTGATTGTGCATCTTTTATTCAAAAGTTTGAGAATAACTGCAATGATAAAAGAGAGATCAAATGGAGAAACGAAATCAATCTAACAAAATTTATACTCAATTATAACAACAGAGAATGTAAGAATCAATGATAAATAAAAAATTCGAGATAGTTTTGATCATAATTATTTCAGAAGTACTCCCATCATGTGTCATTTTAACAAAATCAAAAAAATCCTTAAATAACTATCGTTTTTTTTTATTTCAATGTAATTTTTGTCCAAATATTCCAAATTACCCTTAAATGAAATAGTATTGATGGTAACTTTTTTTTAATAGGGTAGGTTGAAAATATTTTAGTATTAAACTAACTCTAAGTATTTTTTAAACTGTGTATAAATTATCTAATAATACTTATTTTAAAATAAACGGAGCACACCAACAAAAAGCAGCTGCGTATTCTTATTACTATTATTAAGGTTATTTCTTTTCTAAGACAAACTCCATGTGGTAGTAGAAGAAAGGAAGAAAGAGAAAAAGAAGAAGAAGGAGGCACCGCAACATTTAAAAGAAGAAGCCAGCCTCTCCTGTTTCAGGCCGAAAATCAAAGGAAAACACAAGAGAGTTTTTCTTTTTTTTCAAAACAAAACTTGCTTCTAAGAAAGAGCTTCTTCTCGATATGGAAGTAGAGAAAGTGTTCGATTTGTTAAAGCTGTTGTTCGTGTCGATGGTGTTGATAGTTTTTGCGCTCAAAGGCTTAATTCTGCTGTGGTGGAGACCCAGAAAAATCGAACAGCATTTCTCAAAACAAGGCATAAGAGGACCACCTTATCGTTTCTTACTCGGAAATGCTAAGGAGCTTGTGAGTCTAACGTTGAAGGCCTCTTCTCAACCCATGTCTTCTTCTGATCACAACATTCTTCCCAGAGCCCTCTCTTTTTACCACCACTGGAAGAAGATTTACGGTGCAACTCTTCTAGTATGGTTTGGACCAAATGTTGTTCGGCTAACAGTAGCTGATCCTGATCTCATTAGAGAAATTTTGACATCAAAAGCCGAATTCTATGAGAAGAGCGAAGCTCACCCGCTGATTAGGCAGGTGGAAGGCGATGGTTTGCTCAGCCTCAAAGGGGAAAAATGGGCTCACCATCGAAAAATCATCACGCCTACCTTTCATATGGGAAATCTCAAAGTACGTAAAACCACCTTCAGGCAGAAAAACATTTATTGATTTTTCTTTTTTGTTCGTTGAATTGGGTTGCCTGTGTAAATAATCTGTACTTTTTCATAATTATTTATATTTTGCTTATTTTGTAACAGTTGCTAATACCAATGAGTGCAAATAGCGTGGTGGAAATGTTGGAGAAATGGTTTGGGAAAAACAATGAAGTTGAAATCGAAGTCTCAGAATGGTTCCAGAATCTGACAGAAGATATTGTAATCCGAGCTGCATTTGGACGCAGCTACGAGGAAGGAAAAGCCAACTTCCGTCTCCAAGCTCAACAAATGGTGCTTGTTTCTGAGGCCTTCCAGAAAATCTCCATCCCAGGTAACAGATTCCTGCCCACGGGAAGGAATATGAAGTCTTGGAAACTGGACAAGGAAATCAAGAAATCACTGGTGAAGCTGATCGATGAAAGGAAAGAGAACTGGGTCAGCGAGGTGAAAGATAACGGGCCCAAGGATTTGGTGGGGTTAATGATTCAGGCGAGCGTGAATGGGAATTTGAGGCGGACCGGCAGCGGCGCCGCATGCCGGAATCCAACCCCGCCGTCGATAATCACGGTGAATGACATCGCCGAAGAATGCAAGAGTTTCTTCTTCGCTGGCGAGCACACAACATCCAACTTGCTGACGTGGACGACCGTTTTGCTAGCTATGCACCCAGAATGGCAGGACCGGGCACGTGACGAGGTGCTCAAGGCCTGCGGATCACATGACATCCCCTCCAAAGATGATCTTGTCAAGTTTAAGACGATAAGCATGATACTTAATGAGTCCCTCCGGCTATACCTGTTAGTAAGTAAACTTAATTTGGTCCAATTAATATTGGGTTATCCAAAATTATTAACTTGGACCATGAATCTTTATGTTTAATCCTAAGCCCAAGTCCAATGAAGAATTGTCTAGATAAGAAGATATCTAGAAGTAGAAAGTTCTAGAAATGTTTTACATAAATATCTAGAGTATGTAGAAAAATTCATGGAAAATATCTAGAAGAAATATCTAGATATTAGTAAGGAAAAGTCTAGATATTAGAATAAAATATGTAGATATTTAGAAGGAGTAGAAACATCTTGAAAGAGTGTAGAACCTTCCATGCACTCCTATAAATAGGAGTTAACCCCCTAATGTAAGTATGTGTAGAGAGTTGTGAGAAACCTTAAAACTAAAAGCTTAACACACTCCACCTTGTTTCCTTTTACTACAAAGTAGTAAAGCTCCCTTTCTCCCAAAATTTCCTTCTCTTCCATTTTCACTTCCTAAACCTATCACTTAAAAGATCTCTTCCTTATAACCCAAAGGGTTCTTTTGCTAACAAACTGGTATCAGAGCTGGTGTTGGTCCAGCTTTGAAGTAAGATGGCAAATGGAATGATCTCTTTCCAATTCCCTCAACTTACCAAAGAAAACTATGGTAAGTGGTCCATTCGAATGAAGGCGATCTTAGGCTCTCACGAGGTTTGGGAGATTGTTGAGAAAGGTTATGAGAAACCTCTAGATGAGGCTTCGTTGACTCCGCCCAAAGGGGGAACTCAACAAAGCAAGGAGAAAGGATCAACAAGCTCTTTCACTTATCCATCAATGTCTAGATGATTCCATGTTCGAGAAGGTGGCAAATGCTTCTACATCAAAGGAGGCTTGGGATATTCTAGAGAATGCTAATAGAGGCATTGAGAAGGTTAAAGGTACGTCTTCAAACTCTTAGAGGAGAATTTGAAGCTTTACAAATGGAGGAGTCCGAATTTGTTTCGGATTATTGTTCTCGTGTCTTGACAAAGTGTCAAATGAGATGAAGAGGAATGGAGAAAGCTTGAGTGACACAAGAGTGATAGAAAAAATTCTTCGCTCTTTGACACCAAGCTTTGATTATATTGTGGTAGCAATAGAGGAGTCAAAAGATCTTGACTCTATGACCATTGATCAACTCATGGGTACTTTAGTAGCCCATGAAGAGAAACTAAAGAAGAGAAGGCCCAAAGAATCTTTGGAGCAAGCTCTCTACACAAAACTCTCTTTCAAAGAAAGAGATGGAGGCTTTGGACGTGGCAGAGGCCTTGGACGAGGCAATAGTGGATGTCAAGGACGTGGACGAGGAAGGGCTCGAGGTGGCTACGTTCAATCCACCAAGGATGACAATAACAAAGGTTCTCAATCTACAAGAGGTCGTGGAAGAGGTATGAAGTTTCAGAAAGGAGGTAAATCTCGAATCCAATGCTTTAATTGCCGGGAATATGGTCACTATGCAAGTGAGTGTAGGAATTCTAGTCAAGTAAAGAGAAAGCCAATCTTATGGAGGTTAAAGATGAAGTTCAACTCACTCTCTTAATGGCAAGACACGAGGACGAAGGAGAGAAGAAGACGTGGTATCTTGACTCATTGCGAGTAACCACATGACTGGGAAAAAGGTTGTTTTTAGACATGGAACCAGCCAAAGGGTGCGTGATGTTTGGAGATGATTCTAGAGCAAGGGTTGAAGGCAAAGGTAAGATACTAATCCTTGCTAAAGATGGAAGTCACCAATACATCTCAGAAGTTTATTATGTTCCAAGTCTTAAGAGTAATATCTTGAGCTTGGGACAACTGGAGAAAAATTACGATATTCATTTGAAAGATCGTAGTGCCATAGTTAAGGATCCAGAAGGAAAATTGATTACCATTGTGCCAATGACAAGTAATAGAATGTTCTTGTTGAACATTCAACATGAGAACTGCATGAAAGCATGCTTGAAGGATGATTCGTGGATTTGGCATATGAGGTATGGTCATTTAAATTTTGGTGACTTGAAAATGTTATCTGCCAAATGCATGGTGAAAGGAATACCTCCTATCAATCAGCCCAATCAAGTATGTGAAGGATGCTTACTTGGGAAGCATTCGAGGAGTGCTTTCCCAAAAGAAGCAACATCAAGAGCTAAGGAGCCTTTAGAACTCATCCATACAGACTTGTGTGGTCCTATCTCTCCGCCATCCCATGGTAAGAACACCTACTTCATTCTATTTGTTGATGATTTCTCTCGAAAGACTTGGGTGTATTTTTTGAAGGAGAAATCACAATCCTTTGATGCCTTTAAGACATTTAAGGCTGTGGTGGAGAAGGAGAAAGGCTTGAAAATCAAAGCCTTAAAGTCTGATAGAGGTGGAGAATTCACATCAAGTGAATTCACCAAATTCTGTGAAGAACATGGGATTAGACGATTCCTTACTGCTCCTTACTCTCCGCAACAAAATGGAGTTGCTGAAAGAAAGAATAGAACCATTCTCAATATGGTTCGTAGCATGCTAAAGAGCAAGAAGATGCCAAAGGAGTTATGGGCTGAAGCAGTTGATTGTGCAGTATACCTACTAAATCGATGTCCCACGAAGAGTCTAGAAGACAAGACTCCACAAGAAGCATGGAATGGGACAAAGCCCACAGTAAATCACCTACGAGTATTTGGGAGTATAGCATATGCCCATGTACCAAGCCAAAAGCGGTCCAAACTTGATGATCGAAGCGAGAAGCATGTCTTTGTTGGCTATGACAAACAGTCAAAAGGTTATAAGCTCTACAATCCAGTCACGAACAAAGTTATTGTGAGTAGAGATGTAGAGTTTGATGAAAAAGGAACCTGGAACTGGAATATTGAAGGTGACGAAAGCTACGACTTCCTTCCTGTCATCCATAAATACGATGATGACAGTAGTGATGCAGGTGAAGATACTCAGCAACCTCAAAGTCCACATTCACCTTTGAATGAAGAGTCACAAAGGACGAGAAGCCTACAAGAGATCTATGAGGAAACAGAACGCATAGAGGCTCTCACACTCTTCTGCCTTTTTGGTGAGTGTGAACCTCTAGGTTACGAAGAGGCAGCAAGGAACGAGAAGTGGAGACACGCTATGGATGAGGAAATAAGATCCATAGAAAAGAATCAAACTTGGGAGCTAGCCTCTCTTCCAAAAGGCCACAAAGCAATTGGAGTAAAGTGGGTGTTCAAAGCAAAGAAGAACGCTAAAGGAGAAGTTGAGAAGTACAAAGCAAGACTTGTCGCCAAAGGCTACAAGCAGAGACATGGCATTGACTACGAAGAGGTATTTGCTCCTGTTGCTCGCTTGGAGACTATCAGGTTAGTAATTTCTATCGCTGCCCAAAATAGATGGAAAATCCATCAAATGGACGTAAAGTCTGCATTCTTAAATGGCTTTCTTGAAGAAGAAATATATGTGGAGCAGCCAGAAGGATATGTGGTCAAAGGCGATGAGAATAAAGTTCTCGAGCTAAGGAAGGCTTTATATGGTTTGAAACAAGCACCAAGAGCACGGAATACAAGAATTGATCACTATTTTCAGGAAAATGGTTTCAAGAAATGTCCAAGTGAACATGCACTCTATGTGAAGTTTTCAGGCAATAGAGATATGTTGCTTGTTTGTTTGTACGTGGATGATCTCATCTTCACGGAAATTCGCCTAGCATGATCAAAGATTTCAAGAAGGCAATGACTAAAGAGTTTGAGATGATGATATAGGACTTATGTCCTATTATCTTGGCATCGAGGTCAAGCAATTGGATGATGGAATCTTCATCTCTCAAAAAGATACGCTAAGGAAGTTCTCAAGAAATTTGGCATGGAGAAGTGCAAGCCAATAGCCACCCCCATTGAATATGGAGCAAAGCTCTCAAAAGATGATGAAGGAGATGTTGTAGATCCAACTCACTTCAAGAGCCTTGTTGGAAGCCTACGTTATTTAACATGCACAAGGCCCGATATTCTCTTTCTTTGTGGGACTTATCGGTCGATTTATGGAAGCACCTACTACGACACACTTGAAGGCTGCCAAGAGGATACTTCGCTACATCAAAGGTACTATTGATCTTGGCTTGTTATATTCCTCATGTGATGACTTCAAGCTTGTGGGATTCAGTGATAGTGACTGTCCGGAGACTTGAGCGAACGGAAAAGTACTACTGGATTCGCATTCTTCCTTGGCAACACTGCCTTTACATGGGTTTCTAAGAAACAACCTATAG